TGTTATAAAGTTAAGAACAAATAAACATATAATCAAAGTTATATAATATGTTTCAAGCGAGTTGATCTGGAAATTATGGAACTTACGTTGTTTCCAGCACCTTCTTAAAAACACAAACAGCACCCTTCAAGAACCGTAAAGTTTACGCTTCTTACTCTGTTCCAACATGACACTTGCGGTCTACAGCGGATCGGATTAACACGTCCATTTTGCGTGGCAGGTACAGCACGGTCAGATTTCCACACCCGTTTAAAATTATAATATTTATAAGGCTTTCAGGTGTGGAAATCTGACCGCAACTGAGGTGTCGACATGTTGCACGTAGGATTCTGAGGGGAAAGGGTTTGTGATGTTTTAGAAGTCAAGAAGCGCAACTTTTGGCACCCCAGTGTATATAAAGTCTTGCCTGGGCATGTGGTTTTAAGTTGAATAGCCTGAATAGCTGAACAAGACTTGGACTCCACATGGTTCCAACTGCAAGGCTCTATATAGATATCCATTTCCTGGGTTTGAATAGCATGTGTTTGGCAGGCTGCAGTAAATTAATACAAAGAGGGAAGCCTTTGGTCATGGAGTCGGCTTAGCAGACAAGCGGTAGCTGTTGAAACAGAACGCTTGTCCCGGCAGACTGGAGTAGAGTTCTTGTCATCCCGGACTGGTGATCATCCCGGACTGGTTACAGGAGAACATACAGAGTTGCTGCTGTTGGTTGATTAAACTTGCATAACTGTGTTTGCTTGGAAAAAAATCATGCCTCAACATCGACTGTCTGTGGCCTAGATAAATTCAAGCGGAAGAACTACTTTTGGCATCACAGTTCATAGATATTGTAAGCATATTGCCTTTTGATTGCCTTTTAAATGGTATTCCCAGTGCAACCCAAAGGCGAATGTGAGGAAAATTTCCCAGGCATCGGCATGCATCAAAGACTTCTCAGAAACTCTTTGGTTGCTGTGATGTGACCCAGGTTGTTCATAATGTAAGAACTATATACTAGACTCCTTGGCCCCCCCTGGCACACCCCAGGCAGTTGGACGAGTTCTTCACATGTTGCTCCCAAAAAACATCGATACCGACCCCAACAGGTTGTTCTGCCAGGTTGTTCTTCACAGGTTCTGGCAGGTGCTTGCTATTCAGTTTCAGCCTTGCACCACCCAAATTTGGGGGGACACGGCGGGTCTCCAGAGGGGCACCGGCTTTTGGACCACCGTTTCCAGGTTGTACGTGAAGCCCGAGACTGGACCTGCAGAGAACTTCATCTTCGAGTGCGATGCAACTTGTGGCTCGGAGCTGCGATGGAGGATTTCGGCATTTCGGTCCATCGCAGCCCCGCGATGGAGGTCGAGGTCACCGCAATGGACCGGTCCATATTCAGAGACAGGTCGGTCCAAACGAGGGTCATGGGTCATGCAGAGCGTGTCAGGTAAAACACACCATCTGTTTAATCAAGCTGATGCCCAAGGACCTCCATGGGCCCAAAGTGGAAGACAAATGCACCTCCACCAGTCATACTCCGAATCGCTTCGAAGGGTGTGCGTGGATGTTACTAGTATACGTCCTTGCTCTGTTCATAGCGATGGCCTCCAAGCTGCATCGCGTCCTTGCAGACCTAGCCTGACTAGTCTGACTGTGGCAGGGGCAGAGATCCCAGGAACCACAGCACCATCAGGTCCAAGAGGGATCCTCAATGCTTGCAGGTCTCTTGGGCCCGGGCTTTGCTTGCTGCCCAGGCGTCATCCCGAGACAGTTCGAGAATGACGACCACTGTGACTGCGAAGACTGCTCCGATGAGGACACCTGGAGCTGCAGCACTTGTACCTCGCTGCGCAGCTGCTGGGGATAGGTTCAGAGTCCAAAGTGGGGAGAGTTGCACCCTGTACTTTTGAGCACGTGTGTTTTTTGTTTGAAGAGCACCGTCCAATAGGCCGTAGGCTCTATTGTCCAGCCCCCGCATGTGTTCTTTTTTTGCTTAGGCTACTTCAGAGTTTGTGTAGCCACGTAGCCTCTCGGTTTGGGGGCTACTGTAAGTATCCAAAAAGCCACTAAAATTACACCAGCATCGACCGCCAGACGGCAGCGGCAGCTTTTTGCCGGCCTCTTGCTTATTTCAACGGCAGACAGGAGGAGGCAATAGGCCAAAGATCATCTCAGACCAGCATCCAGAAGAACCTTGAGAGACAAAGGAGCACAAAAGGATACAAAAGGCTAGAAATCATCTTGGCCCAGCATCCAGAAGAGCCGTGGGAGACAAAAGGAGACACAGCAGAATCATTTCAGCCGAGTACCCAGAAGATCAAAAGGGGACAACAAAATACGAGCCAGAATCATTTCAGCCCAGCATCCAGAAGAGCCATAGGAGACAAAAGGATGCAAAAGGACAGACATCACCTTGCCAGGATGGTTTCCATGAAAGGATTGACAAAACTCCTCGCAGTAAAGCTACTTGGGGAAGAAACGCCGTTCCTTGTTTTTTGGGGGATGCTGCAGACTACCAGGCTTCCGACACCAGGTATGATATACACCTGCACCAGCTTCTTGTCAACTAAAAACAGGCCCGGTAAATTTGTTGACTAACTGTTGGGAAAAATGCTGTGCAATTCCGAGCTTGCAATCAACCGCTGCTTTCGGAAGTGGGATCGTTTCTGCGCTAAGCCGGGCGCGGGGCGCGGGGCGTTAAGCGGGGCGCACACATTGGTCGTTTTCTGTTTAGATGACATGTTTTTGCTTGGGCCCTGGTGGTGAAGCCACAGCCGTTGTTCCCCTTTTTGGGGGAGTCAATGTCCATGGATTTCCATTATGCCATGGTGAACATTTGTTGGGCAGTTACAGCCACTGTTCGGTTTCTTTGGGGGTTTGATCCGCGATTCGGGAACGTGGGAACACGCTCCAAATCTACAGTATTAACCTTGGGCAAAATCCCAAGACTCTAAGCCAATAGATTGGTAATTCCAACGGTGTGGTGTGTCAGATCGTTGCTTTGCAACCAAAAAGTTGAATGAACTGAACGCATCCGACTCTTTGGATTGATCATCGAACAGTCCGAATTTGGGGTTCCACTGGTTCTTGCTCAGGTGCTGACACAAATTCCACAAATTCCACAAACACCACAACCACCACAAGTTCCACGACTACCACAAGTTCCAGCTCGAGTACTACCTCAACCAGTTCCTCAACCAGTTCCTCAACCAGTTCCTCAACCAGCTCCTCAACCAGCTCCTCAACCAGCTCCTCAACCAGCTCCTCAACCAGCTCCTCAACCAGTTCCTCAACCAGTTCCTCAACCAGCTCCTCAACCAGCTCCTCAACCAGCTCCTCCACTGTCACTACCACCACCACCAGCACCGTGACCACAACTTCAACCACAATCACCACCACGACCACCACCACAGCGACTTGGGAAGAAAGAGTTCCATGAAAGTTTTGAGCTGTGTTTGAAGCCCAGAAAAGCTGGATCAACAGTTACTTATTGTCATCCAAACTAGAGCATGGAATATGAACATTGCAGAGGCATTGTTATTGTATTTGAACTGCAGGATTAATGTTCTAGAACTGAATCTTCTGGTGATTGCTGTGGTGACAATGTGAGAAAATTGGTTTGACATGGTTTGACCATCTCGGGACAAACCCATATTTTGGGTCAAAGAAAGAACCTCTTTGCAGTAGAAGGCATCGCACAAAATGAACCGTGCTTCACACAGGGTTTTACCAGATGTTTGGATACAAAACGATATATATTGTCAATAGGGATGGGGTCCCAGTATAGTCGCTATACAGGTACATGCCATATACGTTTGGCTCAAGTGCCCAACCAGGTAAAAAGGAGCTTTAGCGCGCGAGCTTCATGTTGAACTAAGGGCTAGAACGGGGCCAGGGCACGCTTTCCATCCGTTCGCAGGTTATCAGCCGTATCCAGACTCCTTTGAGCTGGGTACGAGCTACGGCCTTACACAACACCATCTAAACGCACACGCATCGGATAGATCAGTCACCCTCAGTCACCGAAGATGGACCAATCCGACGCCAGCACTGCATCCTTTGGAGCAGCTGCTGCGGCCGCAGATCGGATGAGTGTATCCCACAACTCTAGTCCAGGTACGATCGAAGTGGAGACTCTGGCAGCGGTGAGAGAAGATGCGACAGGTAGAGCACGAAGTCGTTCCCCGTCAGCGCACTCGACACCACCGGGGGGGACACCGAGATCGGGCCGTAGCCCTAGGGAGACAAGGAGGAGGACTGACACCGGAGCTGTGAGAGTGCTAGCTTTGGAGGATGGGTCAACTGTACCAGTGCCGTCGGACAGCGAAGCTGGAGATGGAGCAAGGGCAAGCACCGACAACCTACAACTAGCACGGGCCGATGGAGACCTCAATGCGAAGTGTGCACAACTACTTGCCGAAGTGCATATGTTGAACCACCAAAACGCATGGATGGTCGAATGTGAGCAGAGACAGAACCAGATTATACAACATGAGACCGAAGTCCACGAAGTAGTGATGGCACACCTCGAAGAATGTTATGTCGAAGGATATGGAAATCAACGAAGAATCTCCCAACTTACAGAATCCAGAGATTGTTTACTCTCAGCAGCACACGATTTGCAATACCAGATTGACACTGATCGTGTGGCAATGCGGGATCGTCTCACCCAGTTAGGGGAGTACGCTGATCGCAACAGCGCTGAGATGGTTAGTCAAGTCGTGAACATCGGCACGGAAGAGATCCAGGCTATATCGGCGGAAAGAGATCGAGCTGTAACCGAGCTCATGACTGCAGTCGCAGATGCTGAGAACATTAGGGATCTGTATAGACAGGAGATAGTTGGACTACAAAGGCAGAGTGCCAGGAACAAACACGAATATGCTGAGGAGATGAAGATGAAGGAAGCAATGTATGCAAGCAAGATCAAATGGTTATCAGAAGAGAATGAGGAGCTCAACAACCGATCTTATAATCAGGACAATTTCATCATGACCATCAGAGAGCAATTGAAGAGGGCGAACGAGGAGTTGACACAGGCGAGGATTCAAGGATCCGATCGACCGTCTCAACCACCCAACGTCGAACTCAAGAAAGCTGAAGTCAAGATGAACATGTTGGAAGAAGACATTCTACGTAAAGAGAGGATGCTGAAACGTCTTCAGGAAGAATTGATCGAATCAAGCGCAAGTGAAGCACAACTGAAGGTCGCACTGAAGATGAAACCACCAGACATGGGATCAGAATCCAATGTGGAGAACGAGATGATGACCAAGCTTAGAGCGGAACTTGGACGTGCCGAAAAGTCATTAAGGTCCGAGGAGAAAGAGGCGATGGAGTACTACGAAGGTATGATGCAGAACCAGCAGGACATGATGGAATTCGAAGCGCATGCAGCACGGCTCAGGGATGAGAGGAATAAGTACCGGAGGAGGTACGAAGAAGAGCGCTTGAATGCTGAGAATGCAGCCGCAACCGAATATGGCGCCGCTTCATCCTCAAGCTCGGGTGGCTCCAAGATATCTCGGAAGGAACACGAGAAGATCAACATCCCTGCATGGCCCAAGATACACGACCTGGAGGTTTGGAAATCCCAGGTTGTAGCGGCAGTCGTGACGGCATCGGGCGACGAAAGACAAGAAGATTGGATCCAGTGGCTCTCGGATGCCTTCAAATCACCGTATGACCCATTTCTGCTCGAGACATCAGGCGAGGCAAGATTCGCTAGCATAGACGCTAAGCTAGGTATCACCCTACATACGATCATCCACGCAGCAGGTGAGAGATCTCATGACGTACAACTGAAGGTGAGGCAGATGATGCAGAGACGTGCGAGAGGCACAACTCCTGGAATGGTCAAAGGACGAGAAATGTTAGCGTTGATCGTCGATAGCTTCCGGAGTGCCGACAACGTTGATGTGATGTACGCGTCCAAGCACTTATTCGATCTAAAGTTCCCTGGGGATAATCAACTTTCCAGATTCCTAGGACAGTGGGATGAGATCATATCGGGTATGGATGCGGATGACATGCTTCCTGACAAAGCACTCCGCAACCTGCTTTGGGATAAGATTAAGGATTCCAAAGTTATGGCGTTAGACTTGTCCGTGTACGACAACATGATGGACAAGGATCCGGATAAGACCTACCAGAAGTTACGAGAAATCATGGCGAAGTGGATACGGAAATCAATCGAGACCACAAACAAGAAAGAAAGGGAAAAGGCTTTTGGGAACCTCGTGAAGGCTACACCAGCGGAGAAGAAGGACCCTAAAGCGAAGCCCAAGAATACCAAGGCCGATCCACCGAAGCTTGACGCCGCTCCAGTACTTCCTCAGAATAATCCGAAGGATCACCAAAAGAAGGACAAGAAGCAGGATCGTGGAAGGCCAACCACGAAGAGCCCAAAGGGGGATCGTGGCAGGTCAGCGACTCCGGCAGACACGTCCAAGATAGGATGCGCTTTCCACTTCCATGGAAAAAACGGATGTTCTAGAGGAGACAAATGCAAGTTTAGTCACCAGGAGAAGCACAAAAGTTCTGCTAAGAAACCAGACAACCTCAAGGGTGACAGATCAAAGAGTCCTGGTGGCAGAAGCAATAGCCCTAAGCCAATGAAGGATCAGGTCTGTTGGAATTGGCAGAAAGGATCGTGCAAGTTTGGGGACAAATGTCGACGTCAGCATCACGCTGCTCCTGCCACAAAGCAAGAGGCTAAAGGCAAAGCCAAGCCCAAACCGGCTGCGCCAGCCTTCATGCTTTGCGGAGACATCGAGAGTGATGGCGAGGACGCGAGACCCGCACTTCCCAACGTACAACAAGGTAAACTGGCGCTTCGCTTTAAGGTCAAATTTGATGACCGGGCGAATGTGATCACGTTTACCTGCGATCCTGGTAATGAGCTAAATACCCGTCCCCTCAGGAAGAAGAAGGATGAGGTGCAGAAGGTGGATACCGAGCTCATTACGTCGTTGAGAGCCCTCAGAGTGAACCATATAGCTGCACGAGTAGCACATGCCAAGGGTAAGATGATGGAGCTATACTCAGCTGAACACATTGCCAAGGCATGGATACAAATCACTCAAGATGAAGGAATCGAGGTGAACGTCGACCTGTCTGACTTCAACACCAGCGAGGTAGTAAGGAAGGATTCTGTCAACTACACGATACCGGGAAACACGATGTTCATGGCTGTGGAGAGGTATGATGGACCACCGATACGCTTCATCATGGACACGGGATGTGGACACGACTTGATCTCTAGAGAGAAAGTCAATGCCATGGGCCTTACCACCAAGGAAGGACCTAAATCCGTGAGCTTCATGACAGCGAATGGTGTAACTAGTACATCAGAGATGGTGGACATCAATGTGGACGAACTACCCATGATGTCCGAGGCACATGTGTTGGAGAGCACACCATCAGTCTTTTCCATCGGGAAACGGTGCATGGAACAAGGGTATTCATTCATATGGCCGGCAAATCAGTTGCCATACCTCATCGATCAGAACGCGAACAAGATTCCGCTATCGGTGCACGACAACATACCCTACATCAAGGTGAATGATGATGACGGGAGATGTTTATCAAGACCAGACGGCTTGGCTACGATACTTCATCGCATACTGTCAGGTGTGGGGCATGAAGACGAGACCACAGCAGGTCAGGAGACGCAGCAAGAGGAACCTCCGCCCAAGAAACCACGGAGACGGAGGAGAAAGAAGAAAGGTAACCAGAGAGATCAGGATGGTGAATCTGATATCAATCCAGCCGTTGTAGGCGACGAAGGAGAACCAGAGGAACACGGCGATGACGGATATTCTCCTGAAGAGGGATACGACGGAGAAGACCCGAGAGTCGATCGTGATCTCGATGACCAACCTGAAGAAGCCGAAGACGACGAACATGGAGGTGATGCGGATTCTGAACGAGAGGAGAGTGACATTGGTGAAGATGAAGAGGGACTATTGGAAGTCGATGTGGTCGACGGGGAAGCCAGACTATCGAAACCAGGAGTGCTGAAGAACGAGGCGAAATCCATATTGCACCTGATGACGCACCGATACAAGAACCCATACTGCAAGTCATGTGTGAGAGCAAAGATGAAGCACTACAAGACTAGCAAGGGAGCTTTCAAACGGAAATTGAAGGCATTCGGTGACCTTATCACTTTCGATCT